AACTCTTAAGTCACCTGTTCTGCATAGTGAGAAGCTGTATCTCTGGTAGGTCTCTGTCTCTGAGTCTGTCTCCTCATGGACAGCGTGGAAACTCACAGCAGCCAGATGAGGTGACTAAGTGTCAGGGAGGAAACACTCTTCCTCTACACTCATGCTCAGTGACTGGGAGCCGACAGAAAACAAATTAGCAAGGAAAAGCCAAACTTTTATTCACATACATAGGCAGGGGTTCACAGAGAAACAAGATTCAAGTCACTCGAGGCAGCTAGAACGTAGCAGTTTTATATCACTTAGTAGGGGAAGAGGAGGAGAGAGAGCACCTATGACTCTTAGGAAGGATAAACAGACCCTGAGGAGAAGATGGAAAGATGTCAGCTCTGCCACTAAGTCTGTTACCCGATTTACATGTGGTCGACGTCTCAGGTTCTCTCTGGAGATAGGAGTCCGTTCCCCGTAGTTGCGACACTCCCAGGAAGGAGAGTTATGACAGTTGAATTCTTTGGGGAAGCTCTGCTTTTAGGCAGGTAAGGAGTGTTCAAAATAAACAACACAGCTCTCACAGCGGGGTGTTCTGGACCCCTGCAGAAGGCTGTAAGGTTCTTGGCAGGTCCCTGGTGGGGCAGGCCTATCCATGCTGACCCACCCACCCCTCAGTCCTGTGCTTGGGAGCTTCCCCACCCCCTCTCTCCCATCCACATTTCCCATCACCTGCTACACAGCCCTGTTCTGAGCCCTCAGCTAATAAATGAGTGGGCGCCCCATGCGGCACACTGGCTAGTCCTGGCCCAGGACAGGCACACATTCAGCAGGGCCTTGAGTCCCCACTCGCTCCCTGGCAGTCACCAAACTGCCATCACGTGCTCATGCAACACACTTCTGGACAGCTGCTGGGCTGGAGTCCAGTGTGGCGTGATCAAGCAGCCAAGTTCCTTCCTCTGAGAGCACTGCCTAGTTGAGAGAGAGGCAGACACAGAAAGCGACACTTCTGCCTGTGCCAGGTGTCTGTGGGGTCAAAGGAAGAGCTGGGTCTCGCAACTTCTTGTGACTGTTTATGCCAGGAAAGAGCTGGGTCCACAAAGGGAATGGAAAGACTGTGGAAGGAGAGAGGGAGGGAAGGAGAAAGGAGATAAATTATCTGGATTCCCCCCCTTCCCCCCCCACATCTGCCTGTCTCTACTCTGTACTTATTTGGGACCCTTCCCCCACCCCCACTCCATCTCAGCCTCCAGATCATCAGATAGCCCAATAGCTGTTCCTGCCCGATAAGCTTTCTCCAGATAACCCCTTTCCCTTGTAATTGAGTTTAAATATTGATCCAACACAATCAGGGCAGGTTAATAATCAACCCCAATGAGCTCCTGGAGCTCCTGGCCATCAGCTTTCTTTCCCAGAGTAAAGCCATAGGTGCTGCGGGGGTGCAGCCTCCCCTAGAAAGCGCGGGGGACAGATGCAGGCTCTCTAGTCCTGGCTCTTCCCCTGACAGGACGGGCCCCTGAGTGGTGTTCAAAAACCCTGTCCAAACAGCATGAAGGCCCCAGGACCTGCCCTTTCCAAGGGCAAGGACCAGGTGAAGACAGAAGACTGGATGCTTTGGGAAGGGAAAATAATCTAGCCAGGGAGGGTAAAGGGAAACCCAGTTCTGTTCAGTCACCTCACTCACCTGGGAGAATGTGTCCACACACCTTTCTTCCAATAGCTCCTTTCCTCACCCTGGCTGATGTTGGGGGTTTGGTCCTCGTGAGTCAGCCCAGTAGGGCCCACCCTGTCTAACACACACCCAGTGGAATCTGGAGCCTGCTGGCCCCAGCCCAGATCGTGGACGCCCCCCACTGGAGACTGCCTGGTCATCTGTGCTCTGCCTATGTCCGTCACATGGGAGCCACCCGGGGGGCCCGGGAGTGCTGGGTGTGGTGCAGGCCCAGGGCAGACAGTGGGGTGGATAGTTGGCGGCCTCCACGCCTGCATCCAGAAGGACTGTGGGACCCTCCTGGGCCCCATAAACAGATTTCACAAATGAAATCACCTTCCCCTAAAGTAAGGCTGGAAATCCCACAGGAGACACCCCCCCCACACACACACACACACATACTCTTCAGGTTCTAAGATGACCTGGAGTCAACAGAATCCTATTTTTTTTCCCAAGGGACCCCCCTCTTTCAGCTCACACTGAGGTCTGAAACTCCCAGAGGCTTCTTCAAGGAAAACAGCCAAGTGCCTCCAGGCCAAAGGTTCTCCTTCCATCTCTCCTATCCAGCAAGAGCTCCACTGGGAATCAGTTGAAAGGTGCATACTCAGCCCCTCCCCCGCCAATGGAGGTCTAGATGCTACCCACCGCAGTCCCATGAGGACTGTTGTTGGTTCTGCTCTTCTAGGACATGACTCTAGGTAAATTAGACCCACTCAACCCACAGCACAGCCCTGCCCAGTAGGCATGACTAGAATTCCCCTTTTGCAGATGAAGAGACCAAAGGCAGGGAGAGCTAAGTCACCTTGCCCAAGATCACGAAGCTGAAAGCAGGTCTGACCCCATTGTTAAGCACTCTTCCAGGGGTTCTCCAAGTGTGTTCCCTGCAGCAGCTACATCAACATAACCTGGGGACTTTCTTAGAAGAAAAACAAGTCCTCAGGCCCCGGCTTAGATGTACTGAGTCAGAAGTTCCAGGCAGGGACCCCAGCCGTCTGTGGAGCAAGACTTCTGGAATTCTGATGCCATTTAAAGAACACATCTCACCCTACTGCCTGAAATGGAAGCTCACGGAACTCATTCTGAAGGCTTCTTGCCCACATCATGGCTAAGGGAATGTGCTGGAAATTGGCTGCCTTGCAGTGTGGCTGCCCGTGGAAGCCCTCTGGGCCTCAAGCTATACCATAGTGGGGTTCACCACATCCCCTCTACCCCACTTGCCCAGTTCCCTCCATGGCTGATGGGAAAAGGGGCAGCTTCCAGAGGGCCCCGACACTGTAGGCCCTTCTGATAGGAAGATCTGCCCAAGGTGAGCTGAAAACACTCTGGGCACACACCTTCAGGCTCTGTGGCCTTTCTAGTCACATCTGAGGCCCCTGTTGGGACAGGGGTCACTGCAAAGGTTGGACAGCCAGCAGCCAAGCCAGAAAGGCAGAGAGATGTGGGGTGACTCCCAGCCCTGACCCCAGATGGTTTGGAGGCCTTGACAAGCTCCCCAGTTTAGCACTGAGCATTGGAGCCAATCCCATCCCTGTACCAAGAACACACACCAGAACCCCCACCCCCAAGACCTGCAAGGACCTGAGTCTGACTGTCAAAGTGCAGGGCACAGCTCCCCCAGGGGGCCAGTACCTCAACTTGGCACATGAGGTCCTGCAGTTCTAAAGGAAACGTGAATTGGAATAGTATGAGGATTATTCTTGAAACCCATTACAAGGTGGGTGTACCCATTTTCATGAAAAACTCAGGATCAGCCCCTCATCTGACCTGCCCCTCTCTGGCACGTCCTCTTTGCTTCCCAGCTCAGAGTTGCTGCTGTTTCCGGGGGAGGCCCTCCTGTGCCCAGCTCTGTGCTGCCTGACACGCACCATCCCAGGTCAGCCTCACCAGCCTGCAGGGAAAGGGGTGTCCCTGCTTCACAGATGAAAACACTGATGGCCAGGCAGGCAGGCTAAGAAGCTTCCTCTGAAACTCAGGCGCAGGTATGCCCAGCACAGCAGGGAGGAGGCCTCAGAGGAGGGGGCTCACAGCCCTGGGTGCAGAGCACCCCCATTTGGTTAGAATGAATCACTGGCCCTCCCTGGTGGTGTGGTGGGTTGGGATGCAGCACTGCAAGCGAGCTACAGCCACACTCAGTACAAGTTCCATTCCCTCCCTGGAGGTGACCCACATGGCGCAGCAGACCTCTCCTGACCCGCCCACTTCTCCCCTCAGCAATGTGCTTTGTCAGTCAGCCTACTCTGCTCCCCACTCTGTCTCTGGTGAATACTCTCACCGCCCCTGTACCTCTGGCCTGTAACACAGTTCTATACGCATAAATAAATCTTTTCTAAAAAAAAATGGAGCACTGAGGACAGAAGAGCTTGGAAGAAGTGTGGTCTGCGTAGGAAAATGTCAAGCTTGTTTAGGAAGGCTGGTGAGTGGCTCACAAGTTTGCAAACTTGGCCCTAGCTGGTGACAAGGGTCTTGAGTGGTGGCATAGCAAGTGTGCCCACCACAGTGCCCAGCACAGCCCACCCACTGATACGTGTCGATGTCCCAAGACCTCCCATTAGGAAGGCTACTGTCCAAAATGGACAAGTGCCGGTGAGCATGTGGGCACACGCGAACCCTGTGCAAAGCTGGTGAAAATATGAGTTCGATGCCCAACCTGGAGGTGATCCACACGTCACAGTGAAGTGCACTGTCTTATTTTTTTAAGGGTTTATTTATTTATTCATACAGAACTGGGATACATGCCAGAGGTGCAGGGGCAGTGAAAGGATTCACCAGAGACAGCAGGGAGCAGAGCAGGCAGATCAACAAAGCACACTGCTGAGGGGAGCAGCGGGCAGGTCAGGAGAGGTCTGCGGCACCATGTAGGTCACCTCCCGGGCAGGGATTGAACTCATGCTGAAGTGGCTTTAGCTTCTTAGTGCTGTGCTTTAACCCACTGCACCACCAGAGAAGGCCCTGTCTTAATTATTTTTAAGTGTAGAATTCAGGGGCATCAACTACTGAATGCATTCATATTATGCTACCAACATCCGCCTCCAGTATCCAGTATTAGATTCTTCACTCCCCAGCTCCTGCCAGCTGCCTTTCTGCCTCTCCTGACCTGCCCACTGCTCCCCCCAGAGTGTACTTCATCAGTCAGCCTGTTCTGCTCCCAACTATGTCTCTGGTGAAGCCTTTCACCGCCCCTGCACCTCTGGCCTGGACCCCAGTTCTGTATGCATAAATAAATAAATCTTTAAAAAAAAAAAAAAAAAAGGAAGAAGACAAAGACCAGAGGCACAGGAGTTTCTTACAAATGAGTTTTATTTTCATTCTGACCCAAACACAGACCCCACATACAGATTGCTCGTCTGCACAGCGGTACAGTAACAAGTGCAAAATATGCTTTATTTCAGGTACAAAAACAACGTGGCAGTGTGACAACTTGTCTTGACGCCCACCTCCCCATGACCTATCACTCCCACCTGACACACCCAAGGACTATATACCCCCAAAAGATACTCCCACCACCTCTAGAAAAGTCACCCAATCTGGAGATAGGTGGGGAAGTCGTATTTTAAGAAAGAAATCACTTTAAATACATGACATTAGAGAAAACAGTAACCAAGTTATTACCCAGCAAGGGGGAGGCTGTGGGGAGAGACATTCAAAACAATCCTTTTCTGTCTTTAACAACCAAGCTCCATCAGTGTTCCCTGCACCCCAGGGTGCATTGAGCCCATTGACAGGACTCAGAATGAAAGCTGGAGCCACACAGGAAAGACCCCCCACCCTCCACACCTCCCTGCATCTGGGAGAGCATGGGGTGGACCTGGGCACAGATCTAATTTCTCAGGCTGGATTTCCTTACCTGGAAAACTGGGCTGCACAATTCCCAGAGCAGGGTGGGGATCAGACGTGACAATGGCAAAAGCACTAAGTCCGAAGCAGCAAGGCCAGCCAGCACTGCCTCGCTGTTCCCTATGGTCATCTCTAATGGAGGGCTGGATGGCCATTCCCAGTCACTGCACAGGGGGAAGGAGCAAGAGCCCAAAAGGTCAACTAACAGGGAGGGCGGGACCACCCCAGCTACAAGTTGGACCCCAGTAAAGGGGATGGCATTTGAGGTACCCAGCTTCTCCCGAGGCCACACCATGAAACTGGAGCCCGTGACACCATCATGGAGAGCCGGGGCTCCCAATCGAGAGCTTGAGGCAGCACCAGCCTTTCCCTTTGCAGGTGGAAAAGCAGCAGAAACAAGGGAGGGGTTCTTAGAACCCTCGAGGAGCCAGGAGGTTCATGTTCCTCAAGGTGCCAGTAAGAGGTGAAGGTTAGGTGGCAGCTCTGGGCACAGAAAAGGTCCCGGTCACCCAGGTCAGAAAGAAGGACACAATCTAGCACAACTCAGTGACCCATTAACGCCAGCACAGAGTGCTCCCCACATGCAGCTCCCTGAGCAAGGTCCAGCCCCAAGGCCCTCCAGGCCGCTAGGGATGGTAGACAGGCGGGAGAAGGGCGAAAGATCAGCTCTCTGGCTGGGGACCTCCTTGGGCCCCAAGAGAGCAAGACTAGCAGGCAGGGAGACGCACGGACTGTGGAGCTGAAGCCTTCTCCTACTTTCAAAGTGCAAAACAAAATGCTTTTATTATTTAAAGAAATTCTTATTGTCTGGGATCTTCCTCAAAACAAGTCCTGTCTGGGATAACGACAGGCCTAGTTCAGTGGGTAGCAAACGTTATCTGCAAAGGGCTGGACAGTAGATACTAGAGGCTTTCGGGGTAAAGAGGCAAACTGATGTCAGCCTAACAGAAGTTTCCATAACTTATTTGCTGATAATAACTGAGTACATTTCTTTGTAATACAAATACAGGTCTACTCTTGAGAGAGGTTGGGGGGAGGGGTACGGGGTAAAGTTAATTGGGTTCAAAATAATGTTCCCGATTATGAAAAAGACCACAGAGCCAGGGTGAGTAGGGGCAGCAGCTACAGTCTGGCCCCGGATGAGCATGTGTGGATCCTGGTGGGGAGGTGGGGGAGGGGGCAGTACAAAGTGATCGAGTGGGCTGGTTCTGCTGAAAGAGCTCCCTGTCACCTACCAGCTTACCCACAAAAGCCCAAGGACTGGTCTCCACACTGCCCCTTTGCAAAGGGACACATTTGCTTGCCCAGATAACAACCTGGTCAGCCTCCTCCAGCCATCAGCTGTCCCGAACAGCAGCTAGTCCAGCCCTCACAGCTATTTCTTGGACACTGCCCCAGAAGGTCCCCAATGTGGCAGTTGTTGGTGGGGGGTGGAACAGGGTGAGGTTATACCGGAACATTGCCACACCATTCAGACTCATCTGCAGGGGAGGGGAAGAGGAAAGCCCAGGAGTCTTTGCAAAGAGGTCTGGAGAGTTTAGCAGAAACAGGAAGGAGCTCTAGGGAGGACCCTGAGTGGATCCCAGGAAGGAGGCCCAGCGGCAGCGCGCTGACTAGTATCCTCAATGCCCCCAGGCCCCAGCAAGGTCTCACTGAATGTCCATGGCTCTAGGCCAGGCCCCACCTGAAGGTCCCACTGCTCTGTTCCCAGAGGGCAAAGGGAAGGGGTCCCAAGGGGAGGGTGACCAGAGTTGGTGTACAAACACTTCCTGCTGACTGGCAGAATCACAGAGCAATGACCAGAGGGGAGAAAGTGGATGCAAGGGGAATGTGTGAGGCCAAGCCCATAGGCTTGCTTTTAGTCCTTGTCAGATTTCAGCTTCCAGAACAGTGTTCCTCCCTGGAAGGGACTTACTTGGGGTGTGGGTTGCCCTCCACTAAAGTACCTTTACCCTAAAGAGCCGCATCAATAGAGCCCAAACCAGGAGGGTCACCTAAAAGAACAGCTTGACCACCACATCCAGACAAGATGGACACAGACCCAGGAGAGGGCGGAGCCTCTGTGCACACTACCCTACATGCAGCACGCAGCTACAGAGCTGCTCTCCACGGCTGCCAGCCTCAGGCCACCCGGGAATACTCTGTGACCATCCAGACCTACAAATGCAATATTCAGCCCAGTTCTTCAGCGCTAGACTGCTCCTTAAGACATGGCCGAGAGGCTGTGCTTGTGTCAAGGTGCGCGCGTCACAGCTAAGCAAAACGCACAAATGGCTCTATGGACAGCCAAGATGTGCACACACATGGCCTGCCTGCCCCCGGGAGGACTGACGGAGGGGAAGTGACAAAAGCCCCTCAGCTCTCAGATTCTCCATAGGACTGAGCCACCCCAAGGGTCCTTAACTTAAGGGAAGAGTGACAGACCCAGGGACTCAAGTCAAGCGCTGGCCTGGGGCCCATGGACCTGTGACTCTAGTTCCCTTGTCAACTTCTCCAGAGCCTCAGACCCTCAACCTTTGATGACCAATGCCCCCGGAGGCCCCGCCCCATCCTCTGCTTTTCTACCTTCTCTAAGAGCCTCCCTCTGCTCTACTGACAAGTGAAAAATAGACTTTTCCTTTTTTTTTTTTTTCACTAACATGTTAATGATTTTCAGAACTTAAGTTACTCAGAGCAGCCCCTGAAGTCACCCTGGACCTGGAAACATGTGGCTCTGCTCGCTCAGCTCTACTCTGCAGCTAACAGAGCCCCTTTTGGGTTAATAGCTCTATCCAAGGAGCCGCAGGCTGTCTGGGCAGGTCACAAGGGCACCCATGATGTTTGCTTAAAGGGACCCCAAGCCAAACTTCAAATTCCCCACTCTATCCTGATCACCTGGTCCTATTGCTCTCTCACTCAGAAGCTCCATGCCTTTATTATAAAGGTGCAACCCGTAAACAGGAAAAGGTTTACCACAACCTTGCAACATTCGCCCAACAAGGAAACATGATAGCATTAAGGGTTTCTGGTTCAAGAAGGTGGCCTGAGGACATGACAGTATCTTCTTTCCCTCTGAGGATTACATTTTTTTTTTTTTAACTACTGCTGCCATGGAGAAGACAAGATCTAGGAAAAGACAAGGTCCAGAACACATGGGATAGAGGGATTGCCTGAACCATCAGCCCCAGACCTCTGGATTTGGAAGTCATGGCAAAGACAGTGGACAACAAGCACATGAAAAGCTGCTCAACACCATCAGCAATCAGGAAGTGAAATCCAAACCATGATAAGAGAGTACTTCATACTCACTAGAGTCTAATGGAAAAGACATATAATATCAAGTGTTAGTGAGAATGTCGAGAAAGTGGAACCCTCTGACACTGCTGATAATAATGTAAAATGTAGCTGCTTTGGAAAATAGCCTGGCAATTCCTCGAAATGTTAAAGTTATTATATGTCCCAGCAATTCCATGTCAATGTATATCCCCAAAAGAAATGAAACCATATATGCACACAAAAACTCATACAAATATGTTCATAGTAGCATTATTCATAGTAACCAAAAAGTAAAAGCAATTCAAATAGCCATCAACGAATGAGTAGATATACAAAATGTAGCCTATCCATACAATGGAATATTACTCAGCTATAAAAAAAGATTGCCATGTTCAACATGGATGGTGCTTGAAAACATTATGCCAAGTGAAAAAAGCTAGCGCAAAATACCATCTATTATATGACTGCATATACATGAACTGTCCAGAATAAGTAAATCTATCTGGGAAGTAGATTCACGGTTGCCTAGGACTAAGGGAGATGGGAGAGAAGGTAAGAAGTGATTGCTAAAGGGTCCAGGGGTGAAGAAATGTTCTAAAATTGACTGGTGATTTGAAGAATTTATACAAAGCCACAGAATTAAATACTACAGATGTGTAAACTGTATGGATGTGAACTACATCTCAGTACAGCTGTCACCTAAGCCCTCTACCCCTCCCTCAACAAAAGAAGTTTTAAGAACCTATCTTTACACTGTGAAACACCACACCTGTGTCCCAACATTACTATGAACAGAGCTCCTCCCCTCTCAGCAGTGTCCTGGTCAAAATGACAGTTTTCCATCACCACCCTGGCACTGTGTGACACCAGGCAGGTGGCTTTGGCCCTCTGATCTTCAGTTTCCCCACCTATAAAACAAGGTCTACCCAGTTTCTATATCTTGACACAGCCTTTGACACAACCCTATGTTCCACCCAAAGCCCCACTTCAGGAGCTGTGAAATCCTGCTCATTTGCTTGTATGGTTTCAACATGCTTTGGAAAATGAACCCAAATTAGAGGAAGTGGCAAGTGATCTCTGCTGCTCTGGTATAGCTCACTGGCTCCAGGAAGCAGCCAAGACAAGGACTGACTGCAGAGTCTACGAAATTTCCCCAGCTAATAGCATGAAGAAAGGTGACCCAACCATGGCCTCGCAGACAAATGCCCTGACCACACACACTACAAATGAAAAAAAAGATAAGCGTGTAAATGTAGTGGATCCTCGTAGAAAGCACTATGTCCCTAGGGAGCCTGGCGAGCTTCACAGTGATTAACTAGACAGGGCTTGACTAAGGCCCTCCAAGAGGACCTGGTATCAGCTGATCAACAAAAGGCCCGTTTCCTGGCTCTCCTTACCCAAGGTTACTTAGGAGGAAAAAAATCATACCATTCGCTCAAGAGGAACCATTTTGCTCTCATCCCTTTAAGACTCATGTGAATGTGCGTGAAGGTGGTCTTTCTGCCCCCCTCGCCCTCCCGAAGACCAGGCAGGCCTGGGACTGTGTGCCAGGCTCAGCCGCACACTGTGCTGTGTGTCCCATCAGCGCAGAGACATGAGCCCGCCTCTGGGCTCCCAGACACAGAACCTGAGGAGGAAGGTAACAGTGAAAGAAGCAGAAGGCACAGAGTAAACCTACTCCCATCAACCCGTGCAAGCCCAGGAAAGACAAGTACGCAGCAGGGCCACTGAGGGGGACAGCAACAGGGAGGCCGAAGAGGGCAACCTGCACCCCAAATCAGCGGTGCTGCTCCCAGAGCCAGTGCCAGAGAAGGTGCGGAGTGAGACAGGTTTTCTGGAGGCAGGAGTGGTTGAAAGGGACCAACACAGGCGACCCAGTGAACTAGTTTCTAAGTGAGGGTGAGAGGGTTTTAGAGGGTTTTGCCTTCTATGTCTCGAATGGCGGGGCTGGGGGAAAGCACAAAGCTGAAGGCCAAGAGGAAGGGACAGGCGCGTCACTGGCCTTCTGTGCGCCAGAGACTGTTCATCCGAGGGCTTGTGCTGGTTGCTGGTCTGTAGCTTTCACGGGTCAGGTAAGGTCCCTCCCAGCCTCAGCTTGCTGGGTGAAGTCGCAGCTTACAGTGGGGCAGTTTCTAATCCAAAGGGGTCCCGTGGGGCTGAGAGTTGAAAATAGCTGCACCGCTACTTCTTCTGCTCAGAGGCCACATTTCAGGATGATGTGGTAGCCGTCATTGCTCTCGGCTGCAAAAGAGAAACACTGGGCATTTTACAGCAAGAAGACATTTGGAAGTCACAGAAGACACGGCAGTAGGGTGCCAGCAGAAGCCCAGCCATGAACACGGGCAGAGACCACCAAGACAAGGCCACCCAGAACAACACGTGAGGACAAAAGCAGAGATTTCAACACATGACTTTGCCTTTGCAGTGCTGTTTCCTCTCGACACCAGGCCTTTCCACCACAGCCCTCAGCCCAAGTCTAAAGGAGGTTTTGGTCTAAGTGTGGCTGACAGCTGTAATGGTCCCAGGCTTCTGCAGGGTCGACTGGCTGGATCCAGAACAGAAGGGAGGGGGGCAGTCTCAGGGCGTGTGGCCTAGGGCTCTCATGCTGACATCTCCACACGCTCACCCCTTCACCCCAGGACAGCCACACTAGTCTTTCCTTTCTCCCGCCATGAGATGCTTTCCTCTGGTGGGCCCCATGTCAACCCCCCACTGTCCCCCCAGGCGCGAGCCTCTGAGCTGCAAGTTCTGCTGCTCTACCCCCTGCTTGCCCTTCTTTGAAACCCTCATTTTAGAAAACTCAGCCATGTCTTATTTCTATTTGGCCCCAAGCTCACAGGGAACATGTTGTTGGCCGAGGTTTCCCCTGGATTGAATTTAGGGTCAAGCTCAGTGGTTCTCCCACTTCCAGGAAGAGGTTTCACAGGAAGTTAATGTTTGCTTTTTCCCCAAGGATTCCCCAGTACCCTTCTCTGGAGAAGCCCACAGCCCACTCACCAGCCTAGCTCTTCCCTCACACCACTACCTGGGGCACAGTCAATATTCCTCAACTAGACAAGAAAGGGGGCTTACCTTTTAAGGTACTGAGGATAAAACATGATTCATCTTGGAAATTCTGCACCATCTGAAAGACACAAGAAAGACCTCATCCCTTCAACAAGTCCGTAACATGAAAAGCCTCGGGATATTCACTGACCACTTGCAGCTATCAGAAACTACAGTGTGCAGGACCATGGATGGTTATGCTTAACTTTCACTAGGAAAACATACTGAAACACATGTACAAAATGATTACAATGTTAAATAACACAACAACATAAAAGTCAAAAAGTTGGGAGGGGAGCAAGCTGTTAACATTTGATTTTGGACACATTTTGGTTGTTTTTTCCTAGTTACTTGATCTACCTCACAGCATGCACATGGGTGAGGTCCTGTGCCCAGCAAGGTGCACATGCATGTGTAGTGGCAACAGCTGAAAGCACAGAATAGACTTAAACCTGGTAATGAATGGACCTTGCCTATTGGGGACTGAATGTAGAAAAACCCTGTGTTTTTATCACCAGTCACCTTTCTGGTGACCTTGATAAAAGTCACTCTTCCTGCACATGGTCTCCATGCCCTACTGTAAAATGGGGTTGTTTTGATGATAAAAAGTGTGTGTGTGCATGCACATGCATACACACACACACACACACACACACCAATATATATATACCCCTATACCTATATACACACACCTGTATATGTATGTATATGCATGTGTGTGTGTATATATATATATATTCTGTACATACACACACGTATATAATGCCAGAATGTGGGGCAAGAAGGCCAGGCACCCACTGTGGCTAAGGTTTTCATCTGTGGGCCATTTTAGAAACTGTCCATGAGGTCTAGTATAGATGACCATACACATCTCTCCCCCAGACAGACCCCGAGACCCCAGCTCTAGGGGCCCCTGCCAATCAACAGCGAAGCACATGATGAAAGCGCGGCTAGTCCCACCCCCTCCTCCTCAGCGGGGCCCTGGCCTGCAGCCACACCTCCGTATGTGTCCATCTCAAAAATAGACTGTGGAAGGAAAGAAGACAGTCACAGGAGAAAACACTTACATGACACATTTCAGAGACAAAACTAACATACTGAAGAGGGACAAGGAATGAGTGACACAAAATTCAGAGCAGCAGGTGGAGACGTGGGGTGGAAAATGAAAATAGCCCACAGGAGGGCTTCTTTTAGCATGGTGGTATTAAACCTAAGTGCAAGTATATGGGTGCTGTGGTCCCCAAAGTCTACGATACATTCCAGATACTCTGCATATGTATGCGGTATTTTGCAATATCAACTTAAATAGTATTAAAAATATACACAAAACACACACATGCTAGCCAACACAACAGCAAGATCCCTTGCTAAATTAAAAACTGCAACCTACCTTTTACTGCCTGCTCTGGATTGCTGCCCCCAATCCATCCACCTGTCACCCCAGCTCCTCCCCACGGCCTAATGATGCATGCAGTACATTTATTCCATACTGCTGGCCTGCTCCCTCTAGGAGTCTTGGCAGCCCAGCCACTTGGGCATGCAGAACCCTAAGCAGAACCCACACAGGCTTAATCAGTAACTCCCTTGTTTAATTAAGTCCCCTTACAACCCAGGGGCCGACTCCGTGGCTGGCCAGGCTGCCTCCAGCGCTCCCGGCAATTAAGAACCAGAGGTTTCCAATTGATTCAGGGTTAAGAGGCAAGGAGACTTTGGGGAATAAGAATCACCTACTTAGCTGAGGTGGCATTTGAGCTCTGTTCTCTGCTTCACTTGCTTAACTGCCTACTCTTGGGGGCACAGGGCAAGCTGGGGAAGGAACTTCCTTCAGGGACCCATGAAATTGCAAGGTTCTGCACATTCTCGGCTTTTGTCTTCTCAAAAAGAAATTCATTCTGAATTGCAAAATGACAAGTTTTCCATGCCACTGCAACTGCCCATTGCTCAGGGCCCTTTAAACCTTCTACAGTAAGCTCTGGGGTCAAGGATTTGGAGTTTCAAGGAAGTTATCTGTAAATCGGGACTAAACAAAACAGTTGCGTGAGACCTGAATGTAATGCTATGGAAGGAATTCTGAATCAGTGAAAACAAATATCAAGTTCCAGATAAATGTGCAGCTGAATCTTTGTGTTTTAAAACCCTACACTGGACATACTCAGATGCAAACTTTTCTGGCAGAATCACATCAATCCTAATGCAAATTCCAGGAAGAAGAGTGGGCAAGTTCAGTGCTTTTCACATTTGCCTTCTGCTGCTCTATTTTGCTTGACTTCTTCCACTAGTTGTAAATTACTATTTAGTTAAAAAGGAAGGAAAACACCACCTTGCCCACCTCTGGAATAAAACTCCCACGAAATGGAGGACTCCCATTTAAAACCAAGGGGAATTACAATGAGTAATTATTATTTTGCAGACCTTTCAAAAGTCTTACAATTTACAAATTGCCACATTTAAAGATCTGTCCACCACTTACTCCCCTAATACAGTGCCTAGCACAAGTCAATGACAACCGCCATCATTCACTCTTTCCTAAGGGCCCAGACACTGGCTCATCTTATCCTTACCAGAATTTGTCAAATGGCTATAATTATTTCCCAGATGTTGAAACTGAGGTTCAAGGAGTTTAAGTGACCCAAGACTAATTCCAGGGAGGGGAGAGGGGGTGGGGAATCCCACTTAAATTGCAAAGTGCACATTTTCTCAACTTTCCCTTCCCCTCCACCATTACATTTTCTCTCAGATCCCCACCCCTGCTCCCTCAGCAATTGTTTCCTGAAGGCTTCCTTTCAAGAGCAGTGGGAGTCTGTGGCACCTCCACAACTGGCTCTCAGCCTACTCGCTTCTACCATAGCCACCCTTACAGACCCTGCCAGCTGGGGTCACTACAGCCCTGCTGTGACTGTTTCCTACCTGTGAAGTGGAATAACGATGAGATCCAACTCACAGGGAGGCTGTCAGGTAAAGTGAGTACACGGAAGCCCGGGACAGCGTGCTCTCAAACATGCCAGCACTCCTTGCTATTATTATGGGCATAAGGGATCCAGGACAAACTGAAAAGCCTCTGTTCCGCTAGGTGCAGGAATACCTAAATGTCAGCAAACCTGTATACCAATCCCCTTTAGCCGTGAGTGGGATCACATCACTCGAGGACACAGTCCCAGTGGGCCCATGCAACACGCAGCCCAGCAGCCGTGGCTCAGCCCCTCCCAAGTCTGTGTAGCCAGGACCAGCTGGGGAGGCCCAGAACACTGTCTCATTTTATCCTTACTGGAATTTGTCAAAGGGCTGTAATTATTATCCAGATGTGGAAACAGGTTCAAGGAGTTGAAGTGGTCCCAGACTAGTTCTAGGGGGGATCCCACTTAAATTTCAAAGTCCACACTTTCTTTATTTCTTTATTTTCGCCGACACACGTAAGAGCAGAGGCCTCTCGTTCGCTTCTCCCATAAGCTACATCCTCGGCCTCGGCTCAGCCCCATCTGTTTCACCTCTCCTGGGGCATGCTTTGCCTGCCCTGTGGCCTGCTGCCTGCCCCCTCCTCCTGCTTCTACATTCTGACTATAAACACACTGAGGGCAGGGGTGGAGTTGTGCTTCTGTTCCTGCAGGTACCTGGCTGAGGAGTAGGAACAAGCACTCAACGCCAGTCAAATTGCGGCCCCAGGAAGCTTCCTGGTATTCAGAGGCCACAGCAGCAGAGAGCAGGCAGTGTGCAGGTGAAACCTGTTTTGTTTTGTTTTTAGCTTGGTGACCCCCAAACCTCACAGGGTGTGTTTCTGGTGCAGTCTCCCGTTCCTCCCTGAGCTCAAGCCACAGCTCACGGGGGCCAGGTGGCACTGTGCTCACCTCGTTGCTCACCACCACGTGGATGCCCGTGGGTCCCTGACGATACACTCGGTGAATGTGCTGGGGGGCGATGCTGTACAGGTTGGCGATCTTCTCAATCAACTCCAAGGTCGTGAGCTCTTCCAGGAAGATGGCGTGATACACTGCAAGGAGGAGTAGTTCCTTCTGAACACAAGTGCCAGGCTTTCCAAGGAGCTCCCCCCCCCGGCCCCCACCCTGAGGAGCCAATGATGCTTCAATAAAGGTGCTTATATTCACTTCCCACAATGCCTGGCTGGATGGGCAATGCCCAGAAGCCACACTGCTGAGCTTGTGGGTCCAGAGGCCAAAGGCCTCTGTGTAGACCTATGAAAGGTTAAAAGGTCTCAGGCTAATTTTCTCTTTTCTGTTGCAGTCTCTCCTGGGACACTTAGTAAGATGCAGAATTCCTAGAGCCACAGGAGACTCAAAACTCCATGACACACATTTAAGGATGCAGGCTAGAGAGACCACTGTCAGAAATCTGCATATCTGACAAGTTCCCAGGGCCTCCCGCTGAGTGGCAGATGTACCACTGGAGGAAGGGGGAGGGGGAGGGACTCCTGGGTCCCCTACCCCTTCTCGCCAGTGTGAAAAGGTTATTGCGTGTTTTCAGGCAGTGAAGACTGAACCGTAAAGATAATAGCTGCATGAGCACAGAAGAGAGAGGAGTGTCCCTGCCCTTCTCCAGGGCACAGATACTACTCAGCTGGAGTGCTGTGACCCCTACAGAGCAGGAGGGCGCAAGCAGTGTCATCAGCGCATGGGAAGATAAAGGTGGCCTGAGAATGTTTCCCCCTCCAAGACCTACCACACAAACCCCATGGGTAAACCAGGATGGATTAATCAGTTAGGTGTCTGGGGAGCCTCAAAAGGGAAACACAACTGTATTAAATTAAACCCAGATTTCTCATGTAACTAAGGAATTTGTTTGGGGGGTGAGGGGTGGGGAGCACCTAACAAAGGCCCAAGATTTTAAAAATGAGTGAGCATGCATATGTACTTCCAAATGCCTGGACCCTGGCTCTGGCACAACGCTGTCATCTTGGGCTGCTCAACTGCTCTGAGCCTCAGCTTCCGCAACAGTGAAAGAACCCTTATCACAGTCCTTAACATAAGAGCAAATACATGAACATATGGAAAGTCCTGAGGATGGGAACTGACTGAGAGTTCTGGCTGATCTGGAGAGAGCTGCAGAGAGGCATATAGGTGCTCTCTTGCTCTCTCTACAGAGAATACTAGAGCACAACCATGCAGATGTCATGACACTCCAGATGCTCAGAGCAAGGAGCTTTATACACACCCTCCTCTTGGAACCTGGCACCGCCCTTGCTATCTTTACTTTACACAGATAGAAACTGAGGTGCAGGCACTGGAATCCTGCCCAAGGTCAAGGGTCAGTAGATGTGTGGTCAACACTGTTATCCAAGGACAGCTGACCTCCTCAAAGATTGTGTCCCAGGCAAAAAAATAAAACTAGACCACCAACTTACGCTACACATGAAAATCAAGTCAAAATGGATAAGAGACATGGAAGTAAGATAAGTAGAAGAAAACACAGGGGAAATAGTCTATGACACAAAGTTCAGAAATATCTGTGTGGGTTTGTCACCAGCAGCAAGGAAAACAAAGGAGAATATAAACAAGTGGGACTACATCACACTAAGATGCCTCTATACAGTGAAAGTGACAGCAACCAAAACAAAGAGACACCCCACAGAATCAGGGGAGATATTTGCACGTCAAACCTCTGACAAGGAACTGATTTCATGGATCTATAAAGAACTCATAAAGCTCAACAAAAAGAGAACAAACAATCCAATCATAACAGGCACTTTACCAAAAAAGATGTGCAGGTGGCCATAGGCATATATAATAATGTCCACCACCACTTATCATCAGGGAAATGCAGATCACAATCTCAGTGAGATACCACCACAAGCTTGAGACATAGCCCACTTTAAAGCCAGTGCTGACGAAAGTGTGGAGAAAAAGGAACTCTCTTATGCTGCAGGTGAGAATGTAGACTGGTCCAGCACCTATGGAAAGCTGTGTGGAGGTTCCTCAGAACACTCAAAATGGAGCTACCATAAACCCAGTGATTCCAGTTCTAGCAAACTACCCAAAGGACGCATTCCTATGTTTAACTACAGCACTATTTACAAAATCCAATCTGTGGAAACAACATACATGCCCTCAAAGAGATGAATGGATCAAAAAAATGTATATAGATACACAATGGTATACTACTCAGTGATCAAAAAACTAAAATAAACTCATACCATTTACAGCATGTGCGTGGAGCTGGAAGGGACTATGCTAAGTGAAATAAGCCTGAAGGAGAAAGATAAATACCGGATGCTGTCACTTACATGTGGAACATAGAGAACCACACAAAGGAGCAAAGAAGAACAAACTTTGAAACCAACTGTTACAAACTGACCACAGATCTGAGGCACCCCCAAGTGCGGGGAGGAAAAGAAGGGATGAGTGGCAGGGCACCCTAGACTAGGGCAGGGTTTTGCTGGTGGAAGAGCCGCAATGACCACTTTCAGGGAAAGATCCAATACAGTCAAACATTAACAAAGACGTAAAACAGTGGTGTGCTTCAGTAGCAAAAATAAAATTAATAAATTTCAAAATAATAACACAGACTATGGCATGCGCTCAAAAAAAAAATTGTCTTCCCTCTCTCCAAATGATCTCAAAATTAACACCACCTCCCCACTCCCCCCCACCCAAAGAAGTCACACAGTCCCAGAGACGACCTTTCGGCTCTGCTCCTTAACCCTCCCGCAGCAACCAGGGAATGGTAAGGACTCGGCTGAGTGGGTGAGCTGCAGGAAAGTGCTCCTGGGGATACAGTCATGGCAGACCCACCCCCCAGTCCTCTCCAGTAGCTGAGTGGCCTTAGAAGGACACCTGAACTAGGTATTCTGGTCCCCCATGAATACTTGTGTCCCAGGATGGCAGTTAACAGAAGCTTGTCCTACATGGAACCAGATAAAGCAGGCGAAGCCTGAGGCAAGAGGCCTGGGGTCACTTCTGTTCCTTGGTTTACTCTCCAGCCTTAGAACTGCTTTGGGGGCAGGGCTCCCCTCATCTTACCACATAGACTGGTGTCTCCGCTGCCATCCTGTTTCTGCTGTAGGGGAGCTCGATTCTGCTCCAGCTCCTGACAGACATAGATGGTCATCTTTGGCCTCACATTCCTGGCAGGGGGAGAAGAAATAAATTGAAGGTGTAAGGACCAAGCTCTCTGTTGCTCCAGAATCTTCCAGAACACAGGGTGGAAACAGCATTGGGAAGGATTCAGCAAGAAGGAAGGGTGTCGGCATCCCAAATGTCTTCCACTTGGGGGTGTGGAGGCAGGATTTGGTTCATTGGAAGCTTTAAGGGTTTCACAAAGACTTGCCTGGAAGCCACAGGGATTGAGATACCTCCAGCTTCTGCAACCTGGCAAGAAGGGGCTCCACCCAGAGCACAAATCTTAAGACACAAGCTGTTTAAAGGGGTGGAAATAACAGCAAACACTGTCTTTGCCTTGCACCAGGAACTATTTTCACAATTTTACATGCTCATGTCATTTCATCCTCACACAGCCTCTGAGGATGCGTGGGTAATCACTGGTTTTTTTGTTTTTTTTTTTACAAAGTTTATTTTTACATCATTTTGCACATTTTTTTTTCCCATCTCGATTGTAATCCCCGCGGGTTTCCCATCACCAAATCACCCCTGTGCCACCACCATAGTCCCATGCATTTCCCTCCCTCTCCCGTTTTTGATCCCATTCCCCACTCTGCCCCCACAGAATGTCTCTGGTATATGGTTGTTCATTATTTTTGTTATTTTCTCGCCTGGTCCATTATACTACTGCTATGAGTGAAACCATCCGGTATTTTTCTTTCTCTTTCTGGCTTATCTCACTAAGCATTTGGGCTGCTTCCATGTTTTTCCAATTGTAAATAAAGCAGCAATAAACATGGGGGTACAAGTATCTTTTTCAATCAGTGTTTTTGTGTCTTGGGTAATCACTGGTTTTTAAAAGAGGAGCAAACTGAGCCCACCGGGTTAAAATTTAACTCCAGGCATCTCTCATTCTGAAACTGTGCTGTCCATATGTGGCTATTAAAATTTAAGTTCATGAAAGTCAATAAAATTTAAAGCTCAGTTTATCAGTCACATTAGTCTGATCACAAGTGGCCAGAATATTTCCACATGGCAGGAAGTTCCATCAGACACAGCACTGCTTTATGGGCTGAACTGAGCCCACTGTACAGCAAAGAAGTGCCATCCATGGCTTCCCCACAGCATAAGGAGCTTAGAACCCAGGACCATTAAGTGTCTGAACCCAGAGACATGGCTAAAGGGCTGAGATCCAGGGGCTAAGGTTGCTGTCAAACCAAGAAGTCAGAGGAGGCCTCCAGCCACGCCTGCGCCCACAGTTGGCTGCATCTCACAATAAGGTGTCTCATTCCGTGGCTACAGCTCCGTGGTCTCTCACCAGTCATTCCACTTGGGGGCTAAAGGGCCAGGGTAGAAGCTTCCCGCCATAGTCTGCCTCCAGCTGGAAAGTGACACTCACCTGCCTTTGATGGCATTGAAGAGCCGGATCCCATCTGCAGGCCCACAGATCTGGACCAAATCGTCTCGAGACATCTTCAGCAAGTCAGCACCTAGGGAGAAAATAGGGTCACCGTTATGTGGGAGCCAGAAAAAGGCCCTCTCCTGAACACCTGCAGACCCTGCCCGGAAGAAGCAGCCTCACCCTCAATGGGCTAAATATCAGAAGACCACAGTCAGAAGCTAAATGAGTAGTATTCACAAAACTCAGTACCCAATAGGCATTTACAGAAGCCAACACACCCACTGCCCATGCCTGCCTGCCCTCCCTTGGTACAATATTGGCATATCAAGTATGTGCAAATATCTTACTGGCACATGGTGCTGAACACACATGCACTTGTCAGAACGGCCAAGCAGCCAGTTCTCAGGATGTGTGCCTCTGTGATCAAAAGGCTGCAGACTCAGGTCTCACAGGCCTTTATTCAATGCCCGGGTCTACCACAATCCATGTGTCCTCTGTGCTGCTGGACGTCAGGGTGCTTGCAGTTTGGGGCTCTTAGGAGTAAGTCTCCATGATTAATCTCATACTTGGGTGTGGCCCCTTTCTCAAAGGTCAAGGAGTCCCCACATAGGGACTCTCTAGGGTACAAGAAGCATGATGGAAACGTTCTCCTGAGAACCTCCTAGCAGCCACATGGCATGGAGCCACTTATCAATCCCCCTCCAGCTAAGACAGTTTTAGCACAAAGGGCCCCTCTCCATAGGCATAGTCAAAGTCCTCCCACAACCTACTAGAGCCCCAGGGCCTGTGTGACCACACCTTCCTCCCTAGTTGATCCCATCCTAGTTACCTGGGGCCTCTGCTCACTGGCCACACCAGGAAAGAGGCCCAACTTGTGACTTTGCACTTTCTCCTGCTTGCAAAGCAGGTTCCTGGCACCCTCTGAGATTGCTCCCTCACCTTATCTAGCCTCCATGCCAGAACACTTGTCAGTCAGGCCTACACTTACCAAACTACTCAAGACTACATCCAGCTCTTGTCCTTTCCCAGACCAAGCCAGTACTGAAATATGTGAATACATATCTGTGCGTAGAGCTCCAGGTTTCTGAGGACCCTGAATGACCTTCTAGTTAGCACCTTCCACCCTGAACACAAAGATCATGCTTAGAAAGCCAAGCTGCAAGAAGGCCAGGTGCTGCACTTCCCACAGAAACAGGCATCCCCAGGAGCATCTTCCCTAGCTTGCATTAAATGTTGACTCCCTGTCACTCACGATTGACTCTACTTGCCAACAAGTGTCACTGCGCCCCACAGCCCCTGGCTCAGGACTTCTTGCGCAAGGGGTCCATCAGTAAAGATTCAAAAACCTTTTGAAGGAAGAACTAGTTTTCCTCCATCTCTCAGGTCATACCCCTGGAGATGGTGTAACAGAAGCATCAACTAGCTTGGCCTGCTCTGATAGGTCCGACTCCACCCCCACAGCCAACATGCCTCAGGATAAAGACACCCAGGACCTCTGTGACCGCACCTCCTTCCCTGGTGATCCCATCCTAGTTACCTAGGTCCTCTCTGCTCACTGGCCACTCCAGGAAGGGGCCCATCTTGTGACCTTGCACTTTCTTCCTGCTTGGAAAGCAGGTTCCCGGCACCCCCTGGGATTGCTCCCTCACCTTGTTTAGCCTCCATGCCAGGACACTTGTCAGTCAGGCCTGCACTTACCAAACTACTCAAGACCACAACCAGTCCTTGACCTCCCCCCAAACCAGGCCAGAGGTCCCTTGAACCCTCCCTGTACTGAAACCTCCCTAAAGCTGCACTCAACAGATTACTTCTAGGAACAGGACCTTGTATTCTAGTGCTTGACCTCAGCTTAGCAAACATGAGTGACCCACACAATCCAGGGTTCCTAGGACAAGATCACAGTCTCACAGGCAGGATCTGATGGCAGATCCTGGACAAAGGTGGCTCTGTCAAATGTTGCTAAGGCCCCATTGGGTTTTGTACTTTTTAAAGATTTATTTATTCATGCATACAAATAATTTATTTATTCATGCATACAGGCCAGAGTTGCAACAGTGAGAAGATTCACCAGAGACACAGTGGGGAGCACAACAGGCCGAGTGACTGAAACACACTACTGAGGGGGGTACCGGGGGACAGGAGAGGTCTGCTAGCCACGTGGGTCAGCTCCCTGGCTGGCGCTCAAACTAGTGCTGCAGTGGCTGTGGACAGCTTCACGGTGCTGCTGCGCTTTAACCCCTTGCACCACCAGGGAGGGCTCAATACCCCACTGGGTCTTTAATCCCATATAAAGAAGCTCACCCGAGAAGCTGGAGAAGAGCCGGCAGAACTGCGAGAACCTATTGCGGTGAAGCCACTGCTGGGCATCCTGGATGGAGGCCGAGGGGAGCAGGTGCTGCAGGCGGAGAGAAGGGGCCTTAAGATGACTGCTCGAGTTTGCAAAGGGACAGGCAGTCAGACAACAGGCAGTCAGACAACCCGGCCGCAGACACTTACGTCACTGCCCAGGGGTAGGGCCTCCACAGGGTGTGTCGGAGAGCTGTTGCTGCAAAGGAAGAGAAAGGGTGATGAGACGGAGAATTTCCGGGGCCTCGTGACTGGGATGTGGTGGTGGGATCCTCACTGCTTTTACTTCTCAGGGATGGGACTGGTTTTAAATGAAGTGAGTCCTTAAGTAGTTCCAGAGCCAGAGAAATGTAGGCAGGAACCACTGCTCTATCCCTCGAAAGCCTTAACAAACCCTTCAGTGTGAACCCGAAGTTCTGATTAGATACATTGGTCAAAACCACGCCCCTCCATCTGAGGTTCTGGCTGTGTGTAGAAAAGAGCTATCTCCCACTCAGAGGACGGCTGTGTGTGGGTCAGAGCTA